GTCCACTGCCTGTCACGCTGGTTGTTTCCTCCTGCTCCCCCTCGGTTGGTCTGGCTCCATCTGTCGTCCCTTGTCTGATACCTAGATTGTAAGCTCCTTGCAGCAGGGACTGTCTTTTTGTTCTGTGTTTGAGCAGCGCCCGGTGTAATAGGATCCTGGTCCATGACTAAGGCTCTTGGGTGCTACGACACTACAAATAACAGAGTGGGGATCTGGCTCCACAGCCAAGGTTTGAGGTGTTGTTGGCTCCGGAGCATTTCTACTATTGAAGTCACAGAGTTACATCCACACTGGGTTTCATTTCACGCTCAGGCTGTAGAGAAGAAGGTCAGTGGGAACGGCCCTCCCTTTGTTAGCGCCTCTCTGACAGCAGGATGGAAACATCTACGGGAAATAAAGGCCAGGGGCAAGGGAACTGAGATGGTTCAGGGCCTGGAACCTTTCTCCGCTGCGTTGCTGGGGTGAGATTTCAAATATGAAATTGCAGAACTTCTAACTGTGGTATGAAACCTTTCGTTTAAATCACCCTCTGGACCAGATGGCTGGAAGATAGCTAATGTGATGCCGATTTTTAAAAAAGGCTCCAGAGGTGATCCTGGCAATTACAGGCCGGTAATCCTGACTTCAGTACCAGGCAAACTGGTTTAACTATAGTAAAGAAAAGAATGATCAGACACATAGATGAACACAGTTTGTTGGGGAAGAATCAACACGGCTTTTGTAAAGGGAAATCATGCCTCACCAATCTATTAGAATTTTTTGAGGAGGCTCAACAAACAGGTGGACAAAGGTGATCCAGTGGATATACCATACTTGGACTTTCAGGAAGCCTTTGACAAGGTCCTTCACCAAAGTCTCTTAAGCAAAGTAAGCAGTCATGGGATAAGGGGGAAGGTCCTTTCATGGATCAGTAACTGGTTGAAAGTCAGGAAACAGAGGGTAGGAATAAATGGTCAGTTTTCACATTGGAGAGTGGTAAATAGCAGGGTCCCCCAGGGATCTGTACTGGGACCAGTGCTATTCAACATATTCATAAATGGTCTGGGGAAAGGGATAAACAGTGAGGTGGCAAAGTTTGCAGGCGATACAAAATTATTCAAGATAGTTAAGTCCAAAGCAGACTTTGAAGAGTTACAAGAGGATCTCACCAAACTGGGTGACTGGGCAACAAAATGGCAGATGAAATTCAGTATTGATAAATGAAAAATAACACACATTGGAAAACATAATCCCAACTACACATACAAAATGATCGGGTCTGAAGTAGCTGTTACCGCTCAAGAAAGAGCTCTCAGAGTCATTGTGGGTAGTTCTCTGAAATCATCCACTCAATGTGCAGCGGCAGCCAAAAAAGCGAACAGAATGTTAGGAGTCATTAGGAAAGGGATAGATAATAAGACAGAAAATATCATATTGCCTCTATATAAATCCATGGTCCTCCCATACCTTGAATACTGTGTCCAATTCTGGTCACCCCATCTCAAGAAAACACATATTTGAATTGGAAAAAGTACAGAGAAGGGCTACAAAAATGACTAAGGGTATGAAACAGCTTCCATAGGAGGAGAGATTAAAAAGACTGGGACTGTTCAGCTTGGCAAAGAGACGACTAAGGGGGGATATGACAGAGGTCTATACAATCATGACTGGTGTGGAGAAAGTAAATAAGGAAGTGTTATTTACCCCTTCTCATAACACAAGAACGAGGAGGTCACCCAGTGAAATTAATAGGCAGCAGATTTAAAACAAACAAAAGGCAGTGCTTCTTCACCCAGCACACAGTCAACCTGTGGAACTCATTGCCAGGGGATGGTGTGAAAGCCAAAGGCGTAACTGGGTTAAAAAAGCATGAGATAAGTTCATGGAGGATCTAGCAGTGGCTATTAACCTCTGACTGTCAGAAGGTGGGACTGGACGATGGGATGGATCACTCAATAATTACCGTTCTGTTCATTCCCTCTGAAGCATCTGGCATTGGTCACTGTCGGAAGACAGGATACTGGGCTAGATGGATCATTGGTCTGACCCAGTATGGCCATTCTTATGAGAATTCCACCTCAAGTCATCCAAAGCTGTGCCCATCTGACAGCTCTTCAGGGCCATGAGTGGAATGAGTTTGGTGGGTCTCTGGCATATCCCCAGTGGACAGCCTCCAAATCAGTTAAACCACTAGCACCACAACTGGCAGGCTTAACTGAATGGCCAAGTACTGAGCGGACTAAGAACGAGAGACTTTGGGAGAGGAAGAATGGTCCGGTGGCTAGGGCACTAGCCTAAGTCTCAGGAAACCCACATTCAAGTCCGTATTCTGCCACAATCTCCCTGTGTGACCCTGGGCAAGTCCCTTAGCTCCTTGGCCCAGATTTCAATGGGAGATGGGCACCTCACGACCTGCGAGGCTCTGCACCGGCGCTCCCATCTGTAAAATGGAGATCACTGCGTTAACGCTCATGCAGTGGGGGATGTACTTGTACCTAGATGGATAGGACTAGGAGAGGAAGCTCCCGCTAGCTCGGGGCAGCTTTTTGCACAGTTTCCTGTCCTGTTCCTTTCCTCTGGCTAAATAGAGAGCCTCCCCCCTCCCCCCAGGGTATCTACCCAGTGATGGGGGAGTAGATCTCAGCCCGACATCTCCAACAGGATAATTATAACACCAGGATTTGGGGGGAAAAACAACCCATCTTTATGCTACCTGAAAGAGTCGACAAGAGCAACATGATTAAACATGAGAGAAATCCACGCAGATCAGCTGTGGGTTTAGCGGAAAAGCCACCTTCTTACTCCACCCCACGGCATTCTAGCGGATGGGCTCCTGTCGCTTTGCTTTCTGCCCTTTCTTTGCACTTCCTACTCCAATGTCGGAAATGGCGTGGAAGAAAGCTTAGTGGTACCTTCAGGCCCCTCCTGAAATTGGGACTAGCTGGACTAGGTGCTGTCTATACACATAGCAAGGGGCAGTCTCCGCCCTAAAGACCTTGCAGTCTATCATAGGCAAGACAGAGCAAGTGGACAAGGTGACATGGCTGGCCCAAGTTCAGTGTCAGAAATAGACCCCCCCCCCCATCTCCGGACTCCCAGCCCTCTGCGCTATGGGCTGGGCCTCCAGGTAGCGCTGCGACGATCAGAAATGACCAAAGTCTTATGATCCGAACCAAAAGAGAATGACAGTGACTCTGGGGGACCAGGTGAGAGGCTGCAGTGGAAGGCCTGGGATCTCCCTGCGATCCACCACCACGTCAGGGATGGACAGCACTGGCGGCAGACGGACTCTGCGGACCCAAGAGGCGGTAGCTCCCTCTGATACATAGGGGAGGTCTCGCGCTCCGTTCAGGCCAGCTCAATGAGACTAGCGCCAGGCTAGGGTGACGGCTCTGCGGCCCAGTGGGGAGGGCACTTCCCATCCCTTCCTATGGGTTTGTGCAGCATCTGGCACAACCAGGGCCCCAGTCCCAGCTGGAGCATCTAGGCGCGAACATAATATCACCAACGACAAGAGCCGTGTCTCTGCTGGTGGCAGGTGACTGACACGGGCTGATACAACGCAGCCCCAGGCTCGGGCTACACGCTGCAGTCGGCGTCGGACCCCTGTGTCTATTTGCGCAGCCCAGCACGGGTGGCCGGTGGCTACACAGTGCGGGGCCCGCGCTCTCTTTCCCCAACAGGTTGGCGACCTTTGCAAGGCTCCTGATGCTAAGGAAGTATTTACAAGGCCCACTGCGCTGTGAGCAGCCGGGGGGTTTGGAGCAGGACTTTACAGCAGCTTTTCTCCACCTTTTTGATACCGGGACGGGCTTGCTGCCTTCCGAAACTGTGTCGGGGAGATCTCAGGGACCAGTCTTTGAGAAATGCTGCTTTAAAGTGCCACATGAGATTGCTTTGATTTAATTAAGGGCTTCCACCTCTTTGCCAAGTAAGCAATGGGCATCCATGGAGAATCTTCCTGTGCATTAAAAACGGTAGATGGCATGTATGTGTGTGCGAGAGGGCTTACGTGCAGTTGTATGCGTGTGTGTGTAACATGCATACACAAGTTCGGGAGCCTTAGCTCTGGGGAAGAGGAGCCCACCTCTCCCCAGGCTCGAGCAGGAAGGCCAGGGCGTCGATTACACAACAAAGGCTGGTGGTGATCAGGTCTGGGAGCGCTTTTCGGCTCCAGAAATTGGGAAGCTGTCAGCTCCCTTCCTCCCCACCAGCCTCGCTGGGAAGATTTACGACCCCGTCTTGCTCTCGGCCAGTCCCAGCGCAGAAACCTGCCCCCTCTCCTGCTCTGTAGCCAATCAAAGGGCTGAAACCCGCCCCCTCCCCCTTGTAACTTTTAAAAATGTATGATCTCTCTCTTCTCTCCACCCCCCCACCCGGCTTGTTGCTCCCTCCCCTCCCCTCTTTCATCCTGGGTCCCTTCCCTCTTTCATGTCTGCATGGAAAAGCGAGGAGGCAGACACGGAGAGGAGTGGGAGGAGGTTGCAGCAGGCACAGATCCTGGGAGGGGAGAAGGCTGGAGGGGTAGGGCCAAGGAGACACATCCCAGCCCTCCTCGCACACACACACACACACACACACACACACAGGCATTTCCAGCCGCCGCGGCTGCTGCTAGCAAAGCAAACTTCCCCACTTCCCTTTTGCAAGAGAACTGCCTCGGTTCCCCTGGGCGAGGCGGCTCAGATCCTGGGTCTCCCCGGCCCGAGCTCGGCTCGCTCGTGCCAAAGCTCGCCCGGGCCTGAACCCCGCGGCTCCTTTCCCGACCAGCCTTGGGTGTGGGGTCCGTGGCTGGAGCATCTGGATACGTCTCACTTCGGGGTAGGGGCTGATGCCCGACGCCACAAGTCCCCCTGCGGCGGCTGCTTTGTGTTGGAGTTGATTTTTTTTTAGCAGATCGCCGTTACTGCTAGACACACACACACACACACACACACACACACACACACACACACACACACAC